ATTCAACAGGTACCTAACAAAATCAGTGACGATTATTTAGTTCTAGGTATTTTGTAGGTATTTTATTTTAAGAAATATAAAAAAAAATGCGTAACTAGAAAACTATAAACTTTTCAACAATAAAGAAAACCGGACAAGTGCGAGTTAGACCTGACCATCATAAATATTTAGTAATCTAAAAAAAATCCAAAGATTCTGTCACCTTTACAGTTAGGACCGCGCATATCATTGCTTAACATCTAATGTGTTGGGGTTATGTGATTTAGATCGTATATTAATACGTAAAGATGACAATAGATCAGGGGCATCAATAGATAAATGCAGCCACTTATTAAGATGAAGTATCTTACGTATCTTCTACGCCGGGTAAAGCTAAGGTTAAGTTACTTCCTTTTGAGGTACCCTTAAATACCTTATTCTCTTTGACTGACAGGCGACAGAAACACAAAAGCCTTAATATATTTCATAGCTCACCTAAAAGAAAATTAGAAAAGATTATTACAGTTCTGTCGTGACTGACCCAAAAAATATTTAAAAAAAATTGTGTGTGTCAGCTCCGACGCACGACTGGAGTTTACTCCTTAAGTTCGATACTCTAACCAGACGCAAAAAGAGTTTATTTAACTTAAAAAAGATTGATACTGCATGAAAGGGTAAATTAACAAATTAATGAAAATAATATACATATATTAATATATATTTATTCATTTCATATACATTTATTACAACTAATCGACGAAATATTTTACATTAAACTTTTTACAATAGTCAATTTCAGATGTGCATAAATATATCATTAGGAATGTTGATAAATTATGTAATTGAAGTTATACTTCTTTAGGCGCGTTATGAAAAAATGATGAGAGTGAAATTTTAAGATGCGCGCGCATCACTGTAATACAAAATTTTAACAGCATAGAAATAGAATCTCTATTTCGTGGGTGCTAACGACTGCATTGTGAGGGCCTATCAAAAGTATTTATTAATCTGGAACAACGGAACCAAAGCGCGATTCAGGAGACTACAGCGCCATCTCTTGACCATTGGTGTAGTTGAACCAAAAACCACATCTTTATTTTTTGTAATAAAGTAACAGTTATAGGTATTCATATTTATAATATCAAAAGTATTTATTAATCTGGAACAACGGAACCAAAGCGCGATTCAGGAGACTACAGCGCCATCTATTGACCATTGGTGTAGTAGAACCAAAAACCACATCTTTATTTTTTGTAATAAAGTAACAGTTATAGGTATTCATATTTATAATATTTATCAACATGTTTCTAGTTTGTATATTCGGAATACGTGTTTGAGTTTCATACAAGTGCAAATCACATATGTTCTAATAAATTATATTCAGTAGCGATTTTAATTGAATATTTTGATTATTTATTTATTTTTTTAAATTAAAACTGAACTTTATTGACTGTGTCCTTTTCCAGACTTTTTATTAATTTATTGTAATTAATTATTTGCATGCAATTAAAACTAATTTTAAACGATGCCAAAGAAGGATAACTTCTCACGCGCCTACATAAGTACACGCACCCATTTTTTTATTATTATCAGACTATTATCATTTTTTTAAATATTAATTAAATCAACATTGTCTGCATTATTAATTACAGTGACAAGTGGTTTATGGTAACTAAAATAAGACACATGGACGTTTAATGTCAATCCGTCATCTTTGTTTGTCAAAGTTGCGTGACATAGGATGCGCACCAGAAACGTAACGAGGTCATTCATCGATAGATTTTACTCCTCACATTTTTCTCATACCGGGCCCCTTATATATGCAAATCGATTCTTAAGGAGTAAACTCCAAAAAATTAAATAAAACAAGTTTCAACGGGTTAGATGCACTGATTTTATTTATTTATTCAAATGTAGCTCGACAAAGTCAATAAAAAATCATTATTCCGACGACGCATCCTGCAAAGGATGCGAAACGTCAATAAATAAATATCTAACCCGTTGAAACTTTATTTAATGATTGAAGTGCGTGAAAACCTAAGAAGCAAATAAAAAATAAGCTTAGTTTTATTAGTAACACTTGTGTGTCATGCATGATTTGTAACACTTACTAAAAGTGTTATTTATAGATCGTGCAGTGGAAACGCACACCCACCCACTTTAGCGCGCCTGGAAAAGTACATCTCTACAACCCCTAATAGCTCTATTCAGAAGCCAATCACCACCTTAAGTTCCAAATGCCAAAGTCTATTTTCGCTTCTACCCCATATAACCTTGATCGGATAAAATCATCCGCTCATTCGTTACAATATAAACCGAAATATCGACGCAAGAAAGTCGACATTTGATTGTGACCACCCTTCATATTTTACTGTTTCCGTATTTCGTGGCGGAAAGGAATATGACATTTATCTCCAATCGTCGTAAAGGTTATTTTGGTATGCACCTAACTTTATTACACTTTTTGAGTGTGAGTAGATTTATTTCCTCGGAGGATTTCGCAAAATGTGATCGCGAGATGTAGTTTTTGTTGTAATGTTGAAACTAAGTTGTTGTTTAGGAAATACGTGAAAAATGCTCGCTGAACAAACAAAGGGAAAATTACTATTAATCATACTGAGAGAAAGATGTTCCTTCAAGCTGATAGAACCTCGAAGGTACAACATATTTTTCGACACTGACATCAGTCAGCCTAGCCCCAAAGTAAGCACTGTAGGCTTGTGTTTGTGGGGCTAGGGTATAATACATATTTAAGTATATTTATATAGAAATAAATTCAAATTCAATATTCATTTATTCAGTTAAGGCTTTTTCAAGCACATGTGAAAGTCGAAAGCTAATAATAATAATAAATAATAAATAAATATTTCCAACACTCACACCAATTAGCCTAGCCCCAAAGTAAGCACTGTAAGGCTTGTGTTATGGGATGCTAGGGTAACGGATAGAATATATATACACTAGCTGACCCAGCGAACTTCGTACCGCCCTAAAAAAATAGGGGTTGTCCAGCGGACAAAATTGTGAATCTAAACCATTCTCAGATCCCCTTGAACACACACAAAAAATTTCATCAAAATCGGTCCAGTCGTTTAAGAGAAGTTCAGTGACATACACACTCACAGAAGAATTATATATATAAAGATAAAATTCAAAATTCAATTCAAAATCCAATATCGTTTATTCAGTCTAGGCTGTTACAAGCACTTGTGAATGTCGAAAAGCTACGCCATCGGTTCGCAAATCTACGGCGGGAGACCTTGTACTGAGAAGAACCGGCAAGAAACTCAGCAAGGGCTGTTTTTTTCTCCCTGTATTATATACAGAGTCGTCAAATAAGTACATATATAAGAATATTTACATAGAAATACATATTAAACATCCATGACTGGAGTACAAATGCTCGTATTCATCACACAAACATCTGCCCCCACCGGGATTCGAACCCGGGACCTCTCGAGTCGGCGACACCATGAAACCCGGCGTATAAACCACTCGGCCACGGAGGTCGTCGAAAAAAGCTACTCCTTCGGTTCGCAAAACTACGGCGGGAGACCTTGTACTGAGAAGAACCGGCAAGAAACTCAGCAGGGGCTGCTTTTTTCTTCCTGTATTGTTTCATACAGAGTCGTCAAATTGAAAGCTGACATCAAACTTATAAACATGTATTGAGGTCAACTTCCATCACATTTTCTCTTAGCTCGCAGTCCGCTCAAAGGCCGGCATCAGATTTGTGATACTCCTGGTGTTGCAGGAGCCTATGGGCGACGATGAGTGCTTACGCGTTGGCACGTCAGCTCGTATACTATAATATATGGTACAATACGTATAATATAAGAAAAGCATAAGATAGAGCAAGCAGTGTCCTCAGTCAAATGCCATAATTTATTTCAGTGTAATAACGATTTTATTGTGTTTTTTATATATATACTAGCTGACCCAGCGAACTTCGTACCGCCCTAAAAAAATAGGGGTTGTCCAGCGGACAAAATTGTGAATCTAAACCATTCTCAGATCCCCTTGAACACACACAAAAAAAATCATCAAAATCGGTCCAGTCGTTTAAGAGAAGTTCAGTGACATACACACTCACAGAAGAATTATATATATAAAGATAAATGAACGCCTGCTAATGACCCTCAGCGAGGTCTTTGATAGATGAGTAATGATGTTTGTTCAATTTGTTAGCGTAACTTTTCTATTATTAACTGCCTTTTAAATTAAACCACATTTTTAAGAGGCCTGTAGACGAAAATTTCAATTATTTACCATTACAAAAATAAATCGCCCAAAAATTTGATTTAGCAGTAATTTGAAATAGCAAAAGTGAGTGTCGTGTAACACTCGGTTGTACACAACATCAATATAGTACACATTTACACACAATACTTATGCTACGTAACAGCTGAAGGCTGAGACGGAAATCACTTTTTTGTAGGCCCTATCCGCCAAGTCCGTACTGTCCGAAAAGGTAATTCGTTCCAAAAACCAATTTAGATCCATCCAAATAAAGTTTATAGCTTTATTATTGAAGAAAAAAGATCCTTAAAATTAATTGTGTCATAGCTGCTTCCGTTCTACGGAAGGACACCTGTAGCTACGTAATAACCGACTACGATTATAAGTCGCTTCATAAAACATTATTATCTATTTACTAAATAAGCGAGGTAGCCATCAACAAAGGGCAGATTACAATGAAACGCTCCCAATGTAAACGACGAGCGACCCGAGTAACAATATCACCTGCTACTAAATTTATTAATTAGATTCAGAATAAAATAATGACGCTCTAGTGAACTACAAGCTTACGCTGACATAGTTCGAGGTGAGCCGTAACGGCTGAAACTCGCATGTAGCTTTGTTCACAGGAACCTAGTTAGGCCCGGGAGGGATCGATGCTGCCGGGGAGTATCTGGTTTTTTCGGACACTATACCAGGAGGGGTGAACGAACCGCGTTATGTAAGGGCGGTCGATAGCGCCGCACATGCGCCAGCCCCCGGCCGCTCGCCCTCGCACTGACGCTCGCGAGCGCACCCGAAACGGACGTGCCGTCTTTATTTTACCGCGTTTTTCGTTTCCCTTTCGTTCTTTCCGTTTATGATTTGAGCCGACCACCATGTCGAAGGGCGACGGTGAACAGCAGAACGGCTCGGGTGAGGAGTCCAAGACCAACCTCATCATCAACTACCTGCCGCAGAGCATGACGCAGGAGGAGATCAGGAGCCTGTTCTCGAGCATCGGCGAGGTGGAGTCCTGCAAGCTGATAAGGAACAAGGGCGCCGCCTTCCCGGACGCGCTCAACCACGCGCTCCACGGCGGCGGGCAGAGCCTCGGCTACGCCTTCGTCAACTACCACCGCCCTGAGGACGCGGAGAAGGCGATCGCCACCCTCAACGGACTCCGACTTCAGAATAAGACGATCAAGGTCTCATACGCGAGACCGAGCAGCGAGGCTATCAAAGGTGCGAATCTATACGTTTCCGGACTTCCGAAGACGATGACTCAGACTGAATTGGAAAGGCTGTTCAGTCCGTACGGACGCATTATCACGTCGAGGATTCTGTGCGAGAACTCTGGCGGCCGGCCGTTTACCGGCGGCGAGCAGGGACTGTCTAAGGGTGTCGGTTTCATCCGCTTTGACCAGCGCGTGGAAGCGGAGCGCGCGATCCAGGAGCTCAACGGGACAGTGCCAAAAGGTGCGACGGAGCCGATCACTGTGAAGTTTGCGAACAACCCGAGCAACAACGGGAAGGCGCTGGCGCCTCTAGCCGCGTACCTGCCGGCGGCGCTACGGTTCCCCGCACCACTGGGCCGCTTCAGTTCAGGCAAGTCCTTACTCGCTATCAACAAAGGCCTCCAGCGCTACAGCCCGCTAGCGGGAGAACTGCTCGGCGGGGTACTCCCGGGCGCCGTGGGCTCCGAATGGTGCATCTTTGTCTACAACCTCGCCCCAGAGACCGAGGAGAACGTCCTCTGGCAGCTCTTCGGCCCGTTCGGTGCCGTCCAGAGCGTCAAGGTGATCCGCGACCTGCAGACCAACAAGTGCAAAGGCTACGGCTTCATAACGATGACCAATTACGACGAAGCGGTGGTCGCTATCCAGTCGCTCAACGGTTACACACTCGGCAACAGAGTGCTTCAGGTCAGCTTCAAGACCAACAAGATAAAGACCATCTAAGGGGGTCGCCCCAGACTCGGCCTAGCTGGACGCTAGGACGGCACAGCAGGCGCGCACCCATACATACCGACACCCCGGCGCCGGCCGACCCCGCCGCGCCTCATCACCTGACTAGACTGTCTTCCGGGCATCACACGGTTCGCCCCATCGCTCATGACGATGGTACGAACTTTTTATACGTTAAATATTAAAATAAACAGCGGATGTCTTCGATTCGCTCCTTTGTGGGGCGGCCCTTTGTTCCGCGTGTTCAGCCATTTCTTGACATAAACGAGTCCGCGATATATACATTCGCGCACAGAAGTGGGTTAAGTGTGTTTCGGGAAATCAAAATGGCGACCAATTTTCGCGCCCGGCGCGCATGAACGGATGAAATGGCGGACGCTGAATGAAAGGCCGCCCTGAGCATGCAATAAATAACTTTAGATCGACTGACGGCATCAAATGCCCGTTCGGAAATCACTGGCCCGACTTAATAACCATACATATTGGTAATAGTCAATAACAAAATAATGATATTAAACTTCGCTTATGAACGGTTGTGGTTATCGAGAAATAGTTTTCGAATATAATAAATAATATTAGCAATAATAACCTAATGCTATGCTCCAATTTTATATGCGACCATATCGTGTTAAGTATTTTAACGAACATGATTAGGCCACGATTGGACTCAAACCAATGTTTGCCAAATGTACGAGAAATCATCTCCGCTCAGCGCTGGGCGCGACCCGCGCCGCTCCGGGCTCTCCCGAGCCAAGTAAAATCGAAGTAAAATAGTGTTATATTGTTAAAGATTGGAAAAATATATATTATCTATACGTATATTTTAATCATATATTAAACTAATTAAGAATGAAAACTAATCAAAAACTGTGATAGGTTTTGATAAAATTTTAGAGAAAAAAAACGTAAAAATAAATAAATCGGAAAAAGATCCTGTGGATAAAAAAGGACAACATGGCGTCTGTCGCTCGATTGTACCGGTGCGTTCCCGCGCATTCAACTCGTGTAGGTAGGTAAGAATTTTTGAGATAAATTTTGTGGAGAAAACGTAACTGGGATCCGTGGCGTATAGTACATATGGCGGGCGCTACCGGCTCGCTTGAGGAAGACGGGGCAAATCGATTTAGCTGTTCTGGGCTACGCACGGGAGGAAGTGGGGGTGGTGGCGACAGGGTGGCTGTCGTGCCTCCCTCCGCCGCGCGTGCGAGTGAGACGCGTCACCCCAGAGAGGGACAGCATGCGCAGGCAAATGCCGAGGTCACGAGCAGTGACGGGAGTGAAGGGGAGTCCGTTCGCGGGACAATGGTGCATACTCTAGTCTAACGATGTCGTTTTCAAAAAAATAAATCGATGTCTAAACATATGATCGGTACCTGCTATAATAATAATGTATGGATGCGAACCTGCGTCTTTTCGAAGTAGGCTTTAATTGTCTTAGTCTAAATAAAAATTTGTAAATAGAAAAAAAAATGTTGTTTAAAAATATTAATTGTATTCTCGCCGCGTCTAAATACACGCCACATCAGTTACCAGTACCATGATTACGACCTGACAAACACCTATATAATGAACATCGAACTTGAATAGATATAATATCGTGCCGTCCTAACGACCCTACGATTTTTGTAAAAAAAATATATACTTAATATATGTAAAAACAGTTTTGTAACATTTCAGATATTAACTAATAGGTACTCATTACATACCAAAGATGGAGATTAAAATTTACAAGTATTTATATATTTATTATAAATGTAAAACGTGCAATAACTAATAGCCAGTAATTTAATAAAAATATATTAAACAAATGACTCGAAGAGGCGTTGGTAGACTATAAATGTCAGTGATTGTGGTAAACATAATGCGCCACTGTTTGTTTACTATTTATTGTAAACTATTTATTTATCCGCACTCGGAGGCGAGTGTAATAAACACGTTTTCTTACTTTTAAAAAATTATAATTAAAAAATCTTTTACCAAAAAAATAATTCTTTAGCTTCATTTGATCCGCTTGAGATTGCTTGACATTCCAATTTAGTGTTAATGCGTTTTACTATTAAGTACAATTATAATTATAATTAATTTAGACGAAATTGTCAGTTACCATTGTGGCCCATGTCACTCTTTTAAGGTAAACAATATCATTAAGGGTGTGAGGTGGGTAGCATTTAAATGTTTGATTTAATTTTAATTAATTAATTAACGGTGTACCCGAGGGTACAGTTGGCAAGAGGTATCTAGTGACAGTGGATGTGTGAAGCACAAGATTTTGCTAATTGCTAACTTACTTTATGTACTATTAAACTACATATATAGTAATCTCTTAGGTTATAATGGTTGTTGTGTTTTGTGTTATTTTCATTCAACATATAAGGTATCAACTATCCTAGTCGACCCGTACGCGGGTATTTTTAATATATAATATATTTTGAATAGTTGGAAAAAATCGATGTTGATAACTAATCTTATATATAATAATAATTTTGAAGTATCTGTTCTTAGATTTACTCTCATTAATTTGTGTATGTGCAATTGTATTTATAATTATGTACGTTTAAATTAGGTGTGCATTAACTTATTTACTAATTATAATTTTAATATATTCACGGTTTTTGGTATGGGAATAAATAATACGTTTGTTTATTAGGGAAATGTACATTGGACATTTGATCAGGAATGTGTATCATCGATATTATTAATATTTACACGTGATTATTTATGTTGAAATGATTTTCGAAGTAGGCAAATATTTCATTTGGATACGTTTGTAATTTCGAAGTTATCGTATATAAAAAAATAATCTGTCGTTTGAATCGAAACAAAAAACACCAAGATATTTACTGAGAATTCATCGACTATTTAGATAATAAATAATTAATTGTGAGGTGAGGAAAGAATAATGCTAAATATTTTGGAGCGAAGTTGTTCGTAAGATCGTAAGCAGGTTAAGTAATGTTATGTCACTGGTGTTTTTGGCAGAACGTTTTGCGATCTCCCTCCATCTTTCGGTAATAATTATTAAAAAAATAATAAAATAAATTAATAATAGTGCTCAATAGCTTAGAGGGCGGACGCCCGTTAGCGTTAAAAACGGGAGAAGCAATAATAAGTATATTGTGAAATTTTAATGCAGTAATCGACGGGTACGTTACAATTAACTTGATATTTTTATATGTATTTTAATATACTGTAAATCATATCTTCATAGTTATAAGCGGTTGATAGCAAAACGTTTTATCAATAACTATAATAAATTGTTCACAAGGCACTAATAACTAACAATAATCCCATAAAATAAACTTTCGAAACACCAAACTGTATCGCGCGGGAAATTCATCTAAAACGTTTTTAACACTTTTGCGAATGAGTATACGTGTGCGTTATATTAGCAAGACCACCTATTAAAGATTGCACAATTGTTCTTATTTTAATTTAATCGCGTATAGTTATTAGCGCCTTGGAAGTCGCTGTTGTATCCACAAGACTATGCCCAATAGGGTTGTGGATGACAGATGTCGATTCTTGTAACGAACCCCAATAAGTGACAAGGGATAAACAGACCTATTATCAATAACGTAACGGCTACTTTTTGAACGGTGTTTTGATGCATTTTTTATGAAATTAAAAAATAATGTTTAAAAATATTAAAAAACGTAATTAATTGGCAACACAGAAACATTACTCTAACTACGCTAAATAGGCTAATTTACATTGTGGCTGTGAGATTAGCAAAAATAAAAAAAAATAAAAATACAATGTGACGATTGATCTTAATTAATAAATATATGTGTAAACATATAAGTGGGATCGCAGGGCAAAGAAATATTTGTATTCAGACAAAAGCAATAAAAACTCTTTTTTTATATATAAAGCTATAAATAAGGATCTCACCAATCTAGTCGGTAACATAGTTACAAACCAACGCAGCTAGTCGACTTTCGATACTAAATATATTAATAAAAAGGAATAAATTTCTTTGTTCTGTGATTGGGATCATGCATCGCGCGTACAAAATGAGGTTTGGTGGCCCATATTTGATAAGTACTTAACTAAATCAATTGACAATTCCGATGTAAACGCGTGAACTGTTGAATGTCCAAAAACAAATAAAGTATCGGTGATAAATAGTGCTGTATGATGGGTACATAAAGCATGTAGCATTTTCTAAGCAGTCGTGAGTAAGCAAGACAATTGTGGTGTTACTAGGTGATAGGAATTGCCTGCGTCTCGGCAACATTATAAATGCACAAAGCACAAACCGCGTGGCCGAGCCGTACGCCATTCCGGTAGTTAAGACACAAATGAAGAAATGAAATCTTCCATAGGAAATAAAATACGTAAGTTAAAAAATGTTATTCTACGCGTAAAAATGTTTCAAACGTCCATATCACACAATGATGCCGCTATGTTGGACCCAGTTTTCTAGTCAAATGCTCAATACGGGGGTGTAAGACCGATGTGGCGGTGCTTATTTATTTTTCTTTTCATCGCACGATCACTATGACGTCATTCGATTCATTGAAATACTTTTTACGCGGTAGAATACTCGAGACATCGACTAAATGTGTTACTATTACTTCATACGTCAAAAGTCTATTTAACAAAAAAAAAAGCATAATCTAACATGATGCACTGCACAACGCCTACTCTTCGTCGCTGCGAAGGCTATTGTTATAAAATTGTCATTATAATTATGTAATTATTATATAAATTTCAATAATAATCCGCATTGCTCATTGTAAGTACTTCCTTGTATTTTGAATCTGTTTCTCTAGTGGTAGATGTTAGATGGTATGTTCGTTGACAGTTTTATAATAATTTAGTCGGGAGCAGCGAGTTATAGTCGCTTCCCTTAACACATGATCATCGTCACTAGGGGAGAAAACATATTATCTCACACGTAGCGTACCTACATACGTCGACAAAAAGCCAATGATAAAAACCATCAACGCGCCAACACAAACTAAATTAAACCTGAGAATGTTTTCTCCCTAAATCATTATAGACAGTGAAAAACTGATTCGGAGCAATGAGCAACGATTTACCTTTTTTATTAAATTGAATCTCGCGAAGTTACGCAGTACCTGTATAACCTTTGAACTTTACGACAAAAAAAACAGCGGGCCTTTTCCGCGTCCTAAAATACGACTCGGGTAAATAGCAGATTGCAATAAATATGTAAATAAACAAATCAAACGGCAAAGGTTCAGCTTCGGGTGAGCGAATTATTGAATAAAATTAACCAATAGTTACGAATTTAATAAAAATTAAAAAAAAGAATAAAAAAGTAATATCATGTAATATCAATTTCACTGTCTATTTATTAGGTATTCGTTTTCGGTGTTGATTCCTCTATAAACCTGCGTAGCACAACGGTTCGTTCCCATCACGTCAGAAAAGCAGTTTTTTTACATGAATTGCCGTTAAAATATCTATACAAAAGTCCAGAGTCAATCGCTTAAAGAATTGCAGCCGCATTGACATAATATGACGCCATTTTGATTTCATGTGCGTTACGATGGTAAGGCCTAAAATAAAAATGAAAGAAAATATTTTTTCACAAATCACGCAATGGGAACGAACTCCACCGTGCAGAGTAGCATGTGATACTTCTAGTACATAAATGTAGTCAATACTCATAATCACAAAAGTGACAAGATCATGAAAAGTACTACTTCATAATGAAAGAGATACTTTTGGTGGTCTTCGCGTGCATTTTCTACTCGTGGAATACTGACATCAACCGAACTTCCAACTGACTCGATTGTAAGGATAGAAAATAATTAGACAAAAAATGCATCGTAAGATATAAATAAGAGTCTCAAAATAAAGTATTGAATAAGTATTTTACCAACTTCAAAGTTAAGGTGTACTAGACAATGAAAGCAATGATATTTATAATTAAAAAAATGAGATTATGAAAGAAATTGGTCAGCCATTTTTCTTGTTCATATTATGCTAGCTGACTTCACTTTGATACAAATGCGTATTTTATAAAACTTATAAGAAAAAAAAATATGAAAAAAAAAGTTAAAACTACGATCTTCCGGTAAAAATAAAGAAGAAATCAGTGTTGATGTTTCTTTTCATCTTTTTATGATTATTATAAAGTTAAGGGGTAGGTCTGTGTTGGTATAAACCGATTTAGTTAATATCGTACCTAAGAGTTAGGTATCTCTATGTACTTATTGTGTCGGTTTAAATAATTACCTCTACTTCATTATAGCTTTTGTGAGAAAACTTTGATTTGCACAACAAAATAGTAGTTGCATAAAGTTCGTTGCACTAATACTGACGTCGGACGGACACCGCGTGTTCCCGCGCTGTCAGCTGTCAATTGGAAATGTCAGTGTCATAAATTTATATATTTGCTGGAAAACAGCGTAAAGGCGATTCAGTGTTAGTGCCGTCTTTAGTATAAATGTTGTTCCCAATAATTTGTAAGATCGTTTAAGTGTTCGTGTGTGGGGTTTTCCAAAATAGTACCTACCAAAAAAAGAGCAGCTATAAAAACTTCTCGGATGCCATTTTGGAAAACTGTTTACGCGCCGTCTTTCTTTGAAATACGGTATAGAAATTTTTAAAAATACTCATTCCTAAAATAAGCATTAATAACCAAATATTTACATCCGTAGTGGTTACTTGGCTGTTTTTAAGTAATTTATTAATTGATATTTTCACGTAATTTATGTGTCTATAATTATTAATTTATTGGAA